ACTATTTAAACAAACTAGAAGCCTCTTCTAATTAGGAAAAGGCACCACGTTGGAAAAAGCAACTCAAATATTGATGAAAATTTGACTGTTTTATTTATTGACTAAGCATTTTAATTCAACAATTTGGAAAGAGACACACTGTCTTTCAGAAGCCATTCTGCCTTATTTCAAGGAGGCTAAAATTCATGTATTTCGAGTATTAATTTCACATTATATCCAACAACTCTCTGACACCTTGGGTGAGAAACCCCCTGCTGTCTTACCTTCAGGGCAGCAATATATTTTTTTAATATTTTAATTTTTTATTGTTTCATGACTTACAAAGTTTTTATACCAAATTTAAAAGTATATAATGCAAAACATGACAGACATCCATGTCCCCACTCCTACTACCAGAAATAGACAAAATTACTATCAGCAATATAAATATGGCGTGGGTATAGCTCAGTGTTGGAGCATATGCTTAGCATGCACGAGATCCTGAGTTCATTCCCCAGTACCTCCATTAAAAAAAAATTATATATATATATATGGTTTCTAATGGCTGCATAATATTCTAGCTGTAATGAATATTTGTCTGCCTTAGCATAGTAAAATTACTGAATCTTGATACGTGTTGCCTACCTGAATGTTCCAGTGTTGCATCCCTGCCAACAATAAGTTACTTTAATCTTTTTGTTTTAATTTACTAAGTGAAAAAAATGTTACAATGTAAATGAACTCATTCTTGCCTTATTTTTAATTTCTCTGCTTCTTTAATGAGATTGGATATTTTACCATGTTTCATTATCTTTCATATTTCATCTTTCGTGAATTATCTATGCGTATCCTTTGGGGTCCTCTGTATTTTTTTTCTTCAACAATTTATAAAAACTTCTGCTATGTTAACAGATACAAATGCCTCACCATACTTGTTAGAATAATTTCCTCTATTTTTTTTTTGCTTTAAAGTTTTGTGTTTTACTTTCACGTGTACAAGCTTCTTTTTATGTAACCAAAATGATGTATTTTGTAATTTATTTTATTGATTGTTAAGCTTAGATAACCATATTAGTGTCCTCGGGCCGCCATAACAAAGTACCAAAAACTGGGTGTCTTACAACAGAAATTTATTGTCTCACAGTTCTGGAGGCTGGAATTTCAAAATTAAGATGTTGACAGGTCCATACTTTCTCTGATGGCTCTAGGGGAGAGATCTTCCTTTCCTCCTCTAGCTCCTGGTGTTTACTGACAATCCTTGCTGTTCCTTGGCTTGTAGATGCATTACTCCAGTCACAGGGTGGTCTCTTCCCTGTGTGTCTTCACATCGCTAAGACGACATTTTTACCATTTAAATTCTGGCCTATCCATGGGCACAGGCTGTTCACTTATGTTACTGTCATAGGCAAGTGATGCAGGAAGAGAAACATTGAAATTAGACAATACATTAAATCTGTCTTGGTATTTAAGCCACAGTAAGTACCATGTTTAATTGGGTTTATGATATGACATCTTGTTCAGGGCAAGGGTCAATATGAAAGAGAAGCTATAATGGATGCTAAATGTAATGCCTAAGTTAAAGCTAAACTATTACATGTACAAGTCAGTAATTTCAGAACTATCCCTCCCAAGTGAATTAACAAACTGACCTCTTTGAGCACAGTGTGGGACATAGTTTGTGCGACATTATGTGACATTAATTTTAAAAACCTGATCGGACTTTTTTCCAATTATGTGCCCCCAAAACCTAACTGGGAGCATTTTCTTTTTCTGCATTTCCTGACATTTCTTCTGCAATACTAAGTTGATGGATGGCTTCAAAGCTAAAATCATGGGAAATGCAAGAGCCTACCTGAATGTTAATATGTGAATCTTAGGGTTTATCAACTGTAGCATATCTAAAGATTCAAAACCCACCTTTTCTGGTTTTCTGGAGTCTATTAAGTGTGAAAATAAGGACCTCATTGCACGTGGAAGTGCCCTACGAGGTACAATTTTCATAAAGGGAATTTAATTGGCTGTTTTAATTTGTAGACCAGACTGTGTGTGCCTGGAATCCAAGTCTAATGAGACACTTTCTCAGAGAATTGCCTCTTCTAAATAAACAAGGCCTTTTGCACTGACCCAGGAATCTGAGTTGTAGCTGGAGGACTAGTTATACCACTATTATAATGGGCATATCCACAACAATAAAAGGAATATTTTCTCCTATCTTCAAAGTTAGATGCTCATTCAAATGAAATCCAAGTTATTTATCTGCATTGTCTTTAGTGTTTTCGTTTGCACCTATAAACAAACTAAAAGACTTTTCCTTATAAGAAGCAGTTTGAAAATTCATTATGTTTACTTTTTTCAATACATATGAAAACTCCTCTATAAATGAATTCCAAACTAAATTTTTCCCTTGATAATTTGATTTAAAAGAAAATTAGAACAAATCATTATGAGCAGAATGCTTTCAATTAAGACCTAATTAATTAAATGTGAAAATACAGAATACATTTGGATGTGCAATTAGATGACTGATTATTCCGGAAATCTAGTTTCATATTTATGTTGCCAGCCACAGCCCCATCTTAAGCTGTAGAACCACCACAAGGGACCACAAGTTTGGACCTCACCTGCGGAGGAAATGACCACAGTGAATAGTGCTTTTGCAG